ATTGATGATATTGATCACCGTGCTTAAACAAATATTTGCCGTCCATTTCATGAGTATTAATTCTCAAGACTCTATCATTAGTGATCACTATGAACATAAAAAAACTTCCATCATAAAAGTATTATGAATATGAAAAAGTAAGTGAAGCATCATGAATCACTTGAAACTATCTACATCCACCACTTTAAATTTTACAAGAGCATTTGCCATGAAAACATATCTACGATGGATGGCAAGAACATAAAATTATATGGGTTTAAGGTTTGTATTTTTATATATTTATTTGGGCATAAAATAATTTATGTATCTAACTTTTTTTTTGTTTTATTTTAGAAATAAATGCATACAAAAGCAATTGAAAATATTTTGCACCCAATATTTTCTCTTCCCCAAAATTTAATGATTCAAATATCTAAAACTATTCAGTGAAATTAATTTTCATTTTAATATTTTTTTGTAAACAATGTAATATTTTGGATAAACAATGTAATTTGTAAATAAATAAATTTATTAATATTCTGTGTAAACAATATAACGAGTTTAAAAAATTAATCTATCTCACCTTTCAGTTTTATTGATAAACCGAGAGGTATGATGTGCTAGTTTTAAAAATAATTAAAATGAAGATGTTGGGGTTCAAACTCATGTACATATAACTTAACCCCTCGATTTTTATATTAACTGAAGGATAAAGTGACAACTTTTAATGATACTCTTCTTTACTTCGCTTATGTAGCCGATATAAAATATATTTTGCGTCAGAGATTAAATATATTTTTTGTAATAGTGAACCACATATCAGAAGGTATTAGGATGGCTCACAGTAATTTTGACATACTCATTGTGATATAAAACATATGTTTATAATTTTTTTAATATATTTTTTTAATATTAATGTATACATTATCTTTATACTTTGTATATTTTCTAACTTAAAAATTTGTTTGGACTAAAATTATATTGCCACAATATATTAAACTAGATAATTAAAAATATAAATTTTAAAATAGTTTTAAAAAATCAAGTTATGATAATAGAAAATATAATTTTATTTTAGATTATATAAAATGATCAAAACTAACAAATAAAATGTTATACAAAAATTATAAATTAGTGTATAATATTACACTTGTATACATAACTATTACTCTATCATAGTGATTTGGTCCCTCCATATGAAAATATTATGCCAGAGGCTTGATAATATTTCTAAAGTTTGTTGTTTAATGACGATAACAAAAATTAGAATGTAATACCCCGTACATATACGTTTAGAATAATATGTAGCGATGCTATAAATAGTACATAGAAACATACAAGTAGCTGAAAAAAGACAAGAAATTAAATATTGTATACAATACAAATCCAATGTTAAACATATATAATAAGCTTGTCTTCAAAAATTTGCACAACAGAAAGATAATATTTTCAAAGTCTTTCTGTCATCTGCTCATCTACAGTCTTTCAAACTGACCATCTAGCAATTCTTCTACCTAAAACCTGTTTGTGAAAAATAATAATTATATTGGAGTGAGATTACTAATTCTCAGTGAGTCTCCATATCCTACGGGTTCACTCGGTTCTACAGGGTCATGCATAAACGAATCCACCGAGGATCCGTGATTTATCTACAGGTCGGATACAAACACACATACAGGGAAGAACATCATTGATGGTCCTTTGACCAATCAATGGGATCACAAAAATATCACACAAAACATACAAAAACACACAAGAGAATGTACACATCTGTGCCAGAAGTTGCAAGTGCTATCACTTCACAGTGAAGACACGTACCCACCAACGAAGGACTAGTAAGAATACCTACATGGTATTACTAGGATAAATCATTAAGTGATGTAGCCTACGTGACATCACGACTCCACCGAACCAACATTGTCGATGTTTTACTGCCTAAGGAGATGTCTCTGACTGTGACACGATGAATGTGCACCAGGCTGACCAACATCGTGCACCAACATTTCCCCCTGATATGCAACGGGTATACCCTCAGACGTACCCATTATGTAATCAACACAATCTACACCGATTAGTGAGGGTGCGCTAGACTAATTTCCCACTAAGAGTGGTGATAATGCTCGGCTGCTGTTCCCACCAGTAAGTGTGCGCCAGGCTGACCACCATGTAAGAAGGGAAACATAATACACAGATGGTACGACATAAACAAGTGTGTGCCAGGCTTACCACCCATGTGTGTGTGTCTAGAATTGCACGGTACTATGATCAAGTGCGTCATGCTAACTCCCATCAAGTACCAGCACAAAAACCACGACAAAGCCAAGGAGAATCAGACATATTCAGAAATCAAACCAGAATAACAGAATCATCATATAATGAATTTCAACATAACATGCATTGAGATACGTAACATTCACGGAAACATCAGATAAGCATATATAGCTGAAATCATACAGTAATACCACTGAATAATAGATAAGGCACCCCATTTCCGAACTCGAAACGAATCTGCACTCAGGGAAAAGTTCATGGTTTAGTAAGGACAAGTTCGCTAAGCGAACAACTAGCGAGCACACGATTCTCTAAGCAAAGTTCCAACGAAAATAGTCAGTAGCTTCATCCAGTTCCGGAAGTCACAGTTTGCTAAGCGAACTCCCAACGAAGCCCTAATTCGCTAATCAAACTTGTAGTGAGCAATTTATTTAATTCTTTTCCTTCAGTCCCAGACTGTCACTATGTGAACTCAATAACAAATGCTACTTATCTAAGCGAGCCATAGTTCGTTAAGAGAAAACTGTTATACACAACTTCTTGTTCATCCATATTATTCGTTAAGCGAACACAAAGTTCGCTAAGCGAACTTCACTGCACATAGAAAAATCAGAAAATACAGAAAAATGATTTTAGATTCCTAAACCCCAAAATCTCACATGCAATCGGGAATAAGCTAGGTACAGAACAAAATAGTATTGTAAGTACAATTACTCATGAATTGGGCTCATGTTCATGCAATATCAAAGATTCATGGTATTTATCGCTCAAACCCTTATCCCACATATAACCCAATATTTCCCCAAGTCTCTAACTATGAGACTCACTTTGAATTATTAGAGATTAGGAAGATATTCATTCTGCCATAGAGCTTCATTCTTGACCAAGATTCTACCTCTAACACCAAGAAATCCGTAACACAATTTCTCTCATTTTCAGCAAGAATTCCTAAACTTCCAATGCATTTTTCTCCATGCTCACAAACATCTAAAATGAAAAGTTTATATGCAAAATGAAGGAAATTTCATAAGCTTTCCAAAAAAATTGAGAATCAACTTAATCAGAGTTACGAGTAGATAGATAACACCCGATTTATGAAGATTGTCCTTGGAGTGCCAAAATGGAGATGATGAAGATGAACATAGCTTCTCTTTCTTCTCTCAAAATCAGATTCTTCTATCCAAGAATCTGATTTTGTTGAGTCTTTACCCAAACAAGACCTTATGATGACATACAAGGTTGTTTAATATCCAAAGTATCCTTTAACAAGTGATAATTACAAGCTTTCCATCTAGTCAGATATTAACCAATTCCTTTGGTTCTAACTATCCATTAGTCTACCTCTTAACAATTTTAAGATGTACAAACCTTAATGATATCTTGACACTAATAGATATTTAGGTCTCACTTAACTTTGTTTCCATGTTTATAAGATTAAGGATGTTACGTAGAATTAATTAATAAAATTTATAATAATATAAAATTAGAAAGTGAATCATAAGAAAGGAGGAAGGAGTTTACTACTTGAAAGTCCAAGACAATTGTGTCATGAAACAAAAATCAAATTGCATAAAAGATTTGAACTAAAAAGTAAGAGTCAAATTACATAAAAGATTTAAATTAAAAGTTAGATTGCAAGATAAACAATTTGAAAGGGTACAATATAACATAATTAAGGATTATTATATGTATATGAACCCTCTCGCTTATAATTGACTCTCCCTTTGGGTACGAGCCTGAGAAGCACAAGTCAAACATGTTTTGAATCAAGAACTAAAAAATCCCTTATTGAAAATAACTAACGAACCTAAATAGTGAGCTTAACATGAATACAATATAATATGACCACCTTACTGTGTAATAGACGAGTTTCAGAAAGAAATGACTCATAACCTTGTTCAAGAATATAAATTCACCCACTCATAAAGGTTTTTAAAGTATTGAAATCATTGTACTATTCTAAACATCACGAAGCATGTTCAAATGAGATAAACCCAATATTGTATCTCAACATTCATTTATGTTGATGCGGCATACTTATCCTGATATGATCTCAGTGATCAATTTAGAAAGTACAATAACTAGTTTGAGAGCATATACGAGTATAACCAATTTATAAATAAGGGGTTCAATGATTAGATATGATTATTCAATTTCAACTCACTCATTCTCTATCTACTCATGTCATCTCTAACTTTGACACCATGATATCTTTGTAGGTACACCTCCACATTTGGAGAAAATTTTTTTTGAGAAATATCTTAAGCCTCACATGATTAGATTATAGATCATATCATTAACTCTGATGATAAACACCATGTGTTCATACAACAACCATAACCATATACTTATTTTGATGTGAAGATAAAAATTATATATAATATTTCTTAAATTATTAATTTTTTTTTGAGATTTATGTCTTGAAATTTAATAATCTAAATCCTGGCATATATATAAATTCTTTTACCATTATTATTATGACACACTTCAAAACAGAAATGGACATGTTTCAATTGTCAATTATAAACATAAATTTATGCAATTTATAATGAAAAAGAAAAAACAAAGACCATATTTAAACTAGTTTAAAAGGCATAGCTCTAGCCTCAAATGAAAAACACCATAATAATTCCATAAAAATGAAATATACAATACAATAATGCAAGTTTGGTCATTTCTAACGATTTTAGGGAGAAAAAAACTAAATCAAAATTCATACCAAATGCAAAAACACTTCTATAATCTAAATTTTAAGAGATCCACATCATAATTTCTCTAGCAGCTTGCTTGTAAGTTTCCTCCATTGAAATTGAATCATGTAAACATTGTCTAACCTGCAAAATCAACGTGATTTAACTAAGTTATTCACGCTAAATATATTTTTAAATAAATTAATAAAGTTGTTTGGTACCATGATATTAAAGTTTCGACAAATCTAATATGATATCACATATAAACCATAAAGATGAAAAAGATCAGGCTTGAATCTTACATTAGCCAAAATCATGTAGAATTTTCCATTTCCATTGCATGTAATGCTAGCAGATACAACATCAATCCAATATTTTTCTAACACAAAAGCAATTCTTGTCAAAAGACCTAACATTTTAGTAGCACATATGCAGAATTGTGCTTGACCACCACAAATACTTAAGACAACATTTTGATAATACCATGTTTGAAAAGCTACTTGATTTAGTGGAGGTGCAGATTGCCCTAATGCTTTTGAATTAGGATATGAAGTTACCATTAGACTACTAGAAAAATTATTATTATAATTTAAGGATCCATGATCAGCTATGATTGTTTCCTTGGATTCATAGGGGTGGCAATGTGATTTTTTTATCACAGATGGTGACTCACTTCCAAATAGGGATACATATTTAAGCTTTTCTTGCTTCTCCTTTTCCAAATTTTCAATAGTTTGCTCTAGGGTTTTTATTTTCTTCATTGTTGCATCTACAATTGTGTATTTACCAGCCTACAAAAAAATCATACAAACATTAATAATTGTAACTAATAAATAAATTATTATGATACAAACATTAATCATATGTTTACCTTAGAAGGTAGTTCAGGAAGCAAAGCATGAAGAGTAGAGAACATGTTCTTCATTTTCTTTCTCCTTTCTCTCTCGGTGAAGATATGCATTTCATGATCAAAGTCACGATACATTTCATCTTTACCTTCACCATCAATATCATTCTCACTTCTAACCACACACCTACCTTTGCTTAGTTTTTTATTCACATGAACTTCTCCTTCATTAAGTCCTTCTTTACGCTTCAATGATTTCATATCTAACTTTTGTTTGCTACTCTCACCTATGTTTTCAGAATTCAAGATATCACTCCATGATTGATTTTCCCACGTGAAACCAGCGTGAACACCATCATCATGATCTACACTCATGGCCATGTTTGTCTTTGAGAAAGAAATTAGAGTATAAGAATGACAAAAGATGTTAGAAAAAAAAAAGATGATTAATATATTTATACAGAAATGTAGTAGTGTTTAGTAGAAGCTACTTAGAAAAGTAATATAAAAATAAAAACTAAAAATGGAAAACTTAGTATAGAAGCATCAAAAATTTACTCAAAATGCATTTGTTATTGAAAGTTCTAGAAAATACATAGAAACTAATCATATTAACATTTGTCATAAAAATACAAATCAAAATTTAATAATTGTGTACAAGAAACACAAATTTTCTCTTACACATTAAAACTTACACTACATGCATGTTTTGTGTTAAAGTGGGTTTATTAATAAAACTACTGCGTCTGCCTGCAGTTTTGAAAAAATCATGCTAGTTCACTTGGATTTGGACTAACTTAGATTTTAAAATTTTTAATTTTAATTATTTAAAAAATAAATATGATTATAAATAATTATATAGTTAACATTCTTAAATAGTTTTGATGGAATTGTTTTTTACAATTATGACGTCTATATAAAGTTATATTTCAGCCCTATCCCCTTATATAGATGTTTTTTTGTTCTTATCAGTAATGGGGTTCTAGAGTTATATTCTCCTATGGGGTGTTTGTTTCATAGATTTTAAATTTATTTTTAGGAATATGATTTGAATTTTTTAAACTCTCATGTTTGTTTTAAGTATTTATAAATAATATCTTGGAATTTTTTATTCCTGCAAATTTCATTTACAGTTGGTTTTTTAATTTGTTATTCTTATATAATATGATGAGAATCTTTTATTCCTAAAGTAACCACCAATAACTTCTCACATCTATTCATTTAACTCTTTTATTTTAGATTTTAGATTTTTAAATAAAATATATTTTATAAATATTTCTAAAAACTTAAATTATTTAACAAACACAGAGATAGAAATAAAATTTCTAGAAATAATATTCCTTGAAAAAATATTTTCAAGATTATAATTTTAATCTTTGAAACAATTGCACCCTTAAATATCACTAATAAAAAGATTAAAAGTTGAAGCTAGAAGTACAATTTTTCACAAGAAGTTATTATAAAAATAATAAAATTAATGTAATTGTAAGTACATTGAGTTTATTTGGCAGTGTAGGTTAAATTGATTTAAAATTTTAGTTAATGAATTAATATAAATATATGACATGACATAAAATGGTTGGATGATAGTTGTTAGAAATCCACCCATTCATATGATGAATTTCTATTAATCTTGATGAATAAGATGGTTATCACCGTATAATGACAATGAAAAGAAAATTAAAGAAGAAAATATATTTAGGGTTTCTGTAGAGTAATTCTTTGCCCACAAACTGCGAGAAACTTTCTTATTCACTTGCAACTGTAAATTTTATGAATACAACTTAATTGATTACAAAAATAGAGGTTACTCCCTCTATTTATAATTTTAGATTAGCTTGCTCCCTAAGCCAAAAGTCTAAAACTATAAAAGCCTAAAATATCTATTTTGGATCTAAATCAAATCTATCTATTTTAGACTTAAATCAAATCTCTGTGTAGTAATCTACTTCCACACTTCGACAACTACAAACACTTCGACACACACATAGTTTCGACACAAAAGAATTACAATTTAACACACCACCTAATTCATTGTGTCTAAACTATCTATATTCATCAAGACTCTTAGTCTTCTAAATACTTTGACCTACACACCCTTCATCATGATGTCTGCAATCTGGTTCTCAGTTCTGCAGTGTTCCAAGTTCATCTTTCCATCTGCTACTGATGGGTGCTAAATTATTGTGAATTTGAGTGTGAATAATTAGCATTCATCAGTTTAATTTGTTTGATTTTTGTCAATAAACCTCAACTTTAGTGTATATTCGCTATAGTTTACGTTATAATGTATTTATTGCGTAATTGTGTAAATATCATTGAGTTAATTGATTTTTATCTCATTTTTGTAGGTATTCAAGCATTGATATTTATGCATTTTTAGATAGAGCATTGAATAAGTTTTCCAACACTTCGAATTAGGCGCGAATCAGAGTTATGGTTCAAAAGTTATGGCTAAAATACTGCAGAATGTTGTGCTGGTTTTTTCAAATTTCTGTCATCCTTCGTCGGGCAACGCTAGGCGAGCTGTTACATGGGTATTTAGGTGTAAAACCATATTTTTTGGATATGGTTTTGGGTATTTTTTACCTCAACTCCATCAAATTTCATTCTTTGATAGGATTAACTTAGAAAACAACATTGAAGCATGTATACGGATGATCCGGAGTGGATAGCGCATCAATCGGCACTAACAAAAAGGTAGATTTGCGGTTCATTTCTCTTCCTCTTTGTGTATTATTTATGTGTTGAGTTTGTACATATATTTACTCTGAACTTATGTATATTTGTCACCCATGGAGTTATATAAAACTTGCTTTATTAATCTCTGTTGATTGTTGTCCTGGAATTTTGTTCTGTGCTAGAGATTTGAGTTGTTATAGACATATACTGCTTAGATTCTTATCTAGGATGATTATTTGTTAGTTTCTGAACTCTAGAGATAGATTTAGAGCTAACATCTACTTGGGTATCAGAGCTTAATGTCTCTGTGTGGTGGTGATGTGCTGAGAGATTGTTAGTGCAATTACATAGTTGTCTTCTGTGTTGTTGAGGAGGTAGAGAGATCATTTCCTTGGTGATACAGTCGATCTCTCGATTTGGGTTAGAAATGACTTAGATTATGAGTGATACATAATGACATTGATAAGTATTGTTAGGTTGAATGTAATTGGTCGATAGATTTAAGTCTGTGATGAGTAGATTATATGCAAGCTTGATAAGTTCTTGTTAGTTTTTTTTCTTTTGTTTACATTTATTTTCTGTTGATAACATTTTCTTTACAAACCAATTCAAACCAAACTCAAAAACGCGAGAATTTGTCGAACGACAATTCAACAACCAATCTTTGTGGATACAATAAATTCTCGGATAAATATTTCCAAAACTTTTGTTGTTTGTCGCTATACCGCTTTAATAAAATGGCTTTATTGCCAGAGATTGGTTATATTGTCTTCGCATTGTGATAATTCTTTTGTTTTTAAGTTTTGTAATTAATGTATATGTTGTATAGAAATTGTATATTAACTTATATATGATATTTGTGCATATATGTCGTTTCACGTATTATTGTGAATTATCTCATTTTCGTAACGTTTGTTGTGTGATTGTTAGGATACTTTCTTTAGGTTTGTGCGGTGTGACAATATCATGGCATGATGAGAGGAGGTTACTAGCTCACACAATAAAGACGTCGAGCTTACGACGTAAAACAAGCATGTTTGTTTGTATTTGTTTATGTGTGTGGTGATTTATGCTTTAACAAGTTGAAACAATGAAATGTTCTGAATTTTCAAATCTTCACTTTTTAACTTGTTAATTCATTTTCACCCGGTTTTTATATCGTTATTTGTATTTGTTTTGTTAGGTCAATTTGTGTTTTCTGAAAACCTATCCTGTTTAGCTTGAGGAGTTTTGTTCGTTGTATATATTGTAAATTTTGCACATTGAAATTTTGTAGGAGTATTATTTTTTTAATTCTTTTGTTGTTGTTTTCTCATGTTTTGGTCCCGTAACTTGTATAATATTGGGGTGATTTGTCAAGTTTGATTGTTTCGACTTGCGAATACGTGGTAATGATTTTGTTAAAGTTTTATACACGTTTGAGATATGTGTTTATCACTTTCTATACTTTAGCATATTCATGATACTTAGACTTTTTACAATTTTTATGCCATTCATTCTTTTGTACATTTGTTCATTTGTGAATCACTTTAGTTACTACCATTTTTGTGAGGTAGCTTTCCATTGTTCACATATACTGGAGACCGCAATTCTTGTTTTAACTGGATTTTATTATGCTTAATATTTTTTTGTGTTGATTGTATGAAAGCTTGAACATGATCAAGACATTTTTTTTGTTTCATTTTGAGCACAACTACCTTGGCCAAATAAGTCAATTCACCTTGTGATTGTGTGATCATTAGTAACCCCTTTGAGCTTTTTGTCTATATCCATGTTGTATTTTCTAAATGCTTGTCTATGAGTGTTTAGTTCCCCTTTTTGCATAGATATTAATTCGTTATTTTCTTGAATCCTCAATCATTGTTTTGGTTTGAATTTTTACCTTGCCTTAGAAAGTAGAGAGTACACTTTAATGTATGGTTGAAATCAAGTTGGGGAGAAAATGATTGTGTATTTATTGGTTGATTGCTATGAGGTTGAATAGAAAAAGAAAATAAAAGAAAAGAAAATAAGAAAAAAAAGTGAAAAAGAAGTGATAGAAAAAGAAGGAAAAAAATAGAAAAGCTTTGAAAAAGGAAAAACAAAAAGAGTATGAAAATAATGTTATGTTAATAAGTGATGTGTGTTGGTGTGAAACTTATGATGAAGAATAAGTTTGATTGAAATTCTATGGTTTGAAGCTTTGTGGAAGTAATTACTCTATTAGGTTTAGGCAAGTTTTTGTTTCGATTAATTTTAGGACTTATCACTTGTTTGTTAACCAAGCCATATTACAACCTTGAAAAACCCTTGAGATTCTTGCTTTTATATTTTCAATGTGAATTTTTGGATAAATGCATAATTTAGTCTATTGTTTGCAAGATTGTTGGATGAGTGAAAATACCCCATTTTTGTGTGTTTTTCATCTACCGATGATTATGTTTGCTAGATGTGATTTATTTGTGAACTAGTATTTTTTTAGAATGTTTGGCATAATTTTTGAATTTAGCATTTGTTTCGTGTTTATGTTATTGTCGTATTTTAGTGGTAAGTGTTTACTTTGTGTGAACTGTTTTTCATTTTGAACCATTGCATTTGTTTTCTGTTTTCAAAACCTGTTGATTCGTGATTCTTTGATTATCGTCTTTTGCTTATTTAAGTTTATTTGACTTTTTTTAAGGACAAACAATGTTTTAAGTTGGGGATAATTTGATGATTAA